CTTGTCCAGGTTCAAAGGAGGATACAACATTTAGGAGCATTTGGATCCCGATACAGACCTTATCCATTACTAGTGGCACGAAATATGGAGCTACTTTGTATTACAAGATCGTCGAAACTGGTCAAACTGACCTTGACCTAGGACTTTCTGTGAAATCCTCAGCCCCTGACGCCGTTTCATTTGAAATTCAGCCTATTGCCGACACAGACAGTGAACTTCCGGGTGGCTGGTCTAAGGTATCCATCCAGCTTAGCATACCAATGGAACAAGATCAAATAGCCAAACGAAAGAGTGCAATTGGTCTCATTGTTGCTCTCCTAACCGAAGACCCTTCTAAGAACTTAGATGTGAAGATCCGAATTGGCCAGCTAAACGTATACCCCGTGCAACCATCGACAGCTGCTGTTCATAGTCATATAATGCTGTGTGCGAACTTCACTGCACCGAAGTCAAAAGATACCCCAGGAATGCTCTCCTGGGAAGTCGGTGCATCTTTTCTTCCTTTGACATCAATCAACATAATGTCGCCGGATGATCCAGTATCTGCTTGGGCAGTACAACCATCAAACAACTGGTTCCCCCAGTTCATGTACTACAACATATATGGCCTTCTGCATTTTCCATCCGGGCATGTTGGCCAGCCTGAGAACGCTGTATGGCTGGGGACGACTGGTTTGGTGGGGCGGAGCACAACGTTCGAGGTTGTGCCTGAAGAACTTCCATTTTGGTCTGAGATCAATGCTGGGAAGTCTACGAAGGTTCGCTTCTACATACAGGGAGTGACAGACAATGGCAACGTTTTAGAATGGGAGAATTGCGTATTCGTAGATTCCGACCTACAATCGATACTAGTCTAGTACATCCAGCCTTGGAACTGAACACAATGTATTGTAGACTGGAAAGAAAAAGAACTGGAAATGTGCTATGGCGTTGCTCTCATGCCCATTAAATACTGCATAATCTGGAATGCAGCCTGGAACGTGTGGTCGGAGACGGGGGAAAGGACAGATTGATAATTATGAGCAGCTTACCACAGGAGAGAATTGTGGCACCCTTTAGAGCACATTGGTAAGAAACCACTCAATAAACCCAAAACGCATACGTACATGTGGCCACTCAATTGTACCTCAACATACGTCAGCCCTCGTTCATTATGAGTATTTCCCAAAGCACCGACTCCATCAACAATGAAGGAATCATTTGCGATGGGTGTCTGGAAGCCTTGTCTTCCGTTCCCTAGAATGATCTCAGTATAATGGTCAAAATAGAGTAGTATTGTTCGAAGCTCACAGGTCATACTAGACAAGTGGCAAATTTGGGATCAGATCATTCACTAAATGTTGATAGAAGATAAGGCCGTACTTTTGAATAACAATCCTCGTGCTATATGGCATTATCATGTTGATCACACTCAGCATCAAGAATTGAGGATGTCACTCACCCCTCAGCGATGAGGATGAAATCGGCGAGGCCGTGAACGATGACAGTCCTGTTGCTTTTTTCGATGACGTTTGGCAAGACACTGAGAGCCGACGGAAGACTGCCATCTCCTCGAGGGAAAACATTTATGTTGGAGCACTCCGTCCAAGTCACATTCACCGGCGCATGGATTGCTCTTTTCACATCCTCTCTATCAAAGTAAATAGGTGACACCTGGACCTGCTCGAAAGATCCCCTAAATAGCAAAAGGGAGTGAATGCAGAAACATATAAAGGATTTATATACATACGGGAACCCGAGGACATCCCAGAGAATAGGGTACGTGTCAAAGATGCGATAGATATTGAACGCAGGGTTGACGATCAGCGCAGCTTCGAAGATGATATCCCACGCATCGCATCCAGGATCTGCAGAGGTCGATTTTCCGGGGAGAGGAAGAAGTCCTTGAGGCGGGTATGTGACGTGCTTGGCAAAGTAGCCAGCATAGTTACACTTCGCTGCCAGGGCATCCAGTTGTGCCATGAAAGATTGGCTGTACGAAAAGTGGGTAAACTTTCTCCAGCCGCGCTGACTTGAAGTGGAACCCACTTGAAGGCAAAGACATGCTCATACTTGTGGACGAAGTCAACGGCGGGTATCTGTTCTTGGACAACATCCCACGATAGCGACGCTTTTCGAGAGTAAGGATGTTGTTGGTCGCGGCAAGTCAAGGTACTTACGATCAGATATCCAAATTCCTTGAAGGCTTAAGTCGACAAGAGTCGGATGTTCATAAATGAAATTGGCGATATCTAGGAAAGATATTCTTTATCCATCCGAAGTAGTGGTTGTTTGACCTGACTCACAAGGCACGTAGGCCCCCGCGTACTATATGAAAGTTATACAATCAGGTACATGAGCGCAAAATGGGTCAAACTCACGCTCTCGCCTGACAGATACAGGTTCTTATTTTTCAATTCAGAGAAAACCTCAAGGAATTGCTGTAGGAATCCGACCAGTTGGGCGGCAAGGTCATCTTCGTTCTAAAAGTCCATTAGGCATGACGATAATACAGGGTATAATTCTCAATTGCCACACACGCACCTTAATATTCGGCTCTCCTTGAGAAAAGCCTGTACCAACGGGCTGTTCTACCCAGAGAACACTAGAAAGGTTAGTCCAGCTGAATTCGTTCACGGTAGCCTTGGCTTGGCCATAACCCCATTGGAAAGGCTGAGAGCGAAGCAAAGGTCTAAATTGTGTTCCTAAAATGGAGGAAAATGGACACATGCCCCATTCTCTTGGAGAAGACCCTCAAGGGACGAGCAACCTGGTCCCCCGTTGGTCCTGTTTAGTTGGAATTAACATAAAGGTCGGTGGAATCAGAATGGTAAAACATACCAAAAAATGAGATCATCAAGACTCCCATCGGGACCAGGGGGAAAGAACCAGAAAAACAGCTACAGAGGCATGTTAGAATACCTCAATGAGGGATCTCATTGCTGTGCTCGCCTTGCGAGTTTCGTTCGGGTCGCTGCTAATAGGTAACAATCCTGACCAACTAGGTCCTATATCAAAGTCGACTTCGGGGATGGTCGTGCCGTCGACGTAGAACTCTACGACAAAAGAAAGTGATCGCTCAGATTTCAGCGCAAGTAGTTCTAAATATAACTACGTACGTGACGCCGCGGGGTTAGAGAACGTGATATTTTTGATGCTGGCGCGTTTTACTGGAAACGAGTGCGCATGGGCAGCTTCGATACCGGTAATCGTGCGCCAGCGCTGAGCAGCAGCGACTTGTCGTTCACGGATGTCTTCTTTGCGCAGCTGGCGTCCTTGTGTTCCAAGCACGCTTGCTGCAGCGATAAGCGTCAACCAGAGCTGGGGAAACATGACCTCTGGCTATATCGTGGGTGCGACGTCCGGGAATATGATATCCTTGCGGTATTTATCTATGCGATAAGAATCACAGACGACTGGGCACCATGTGTGGTCGTGGAAATAAAACATAGCGATGTCACCGCTTATGTGGCTTCCGATAAATAGGTTTGGAATTCCGGCATAAGTACTTGTACACATGACTTGTTAGCGTGGAAGCCCAAAGGTCATGTCTATACTTGCAATCACAACCGTTCTCTTTAGGCATGCGAGCCTAGAAGGCTTTCCACCTTATCATGGGTACCATTCCACTAGCCAATTTGAATACAAACGATGTTCTAGAAGTAAGGTAATGATTATGTCACCGTTTCGTGATTAATGCGCAGTTCAGATTAGTCAAAAATAACTATGTGCCCATTTTGGCACTGCACTAATAATATGCCAGAGATATGTGGTGCTGCGTGTGTCTCAAATCGCAGCAGGGAAGACACATTCCTTCACGAAATACTCGTGAAAGCGGTGATCTTGGGTGAGCTCTGGGTGGAAGGTAGTCAAGAAGTGACGTCCCTGACGCAACGCAACAATAGTCTTGGGGTCGTTCTCGTCCAGCGAAGAAAGTGATGGAGGTAGAAGACTGGTATGAAGGCGAGCAACCACTTGGATGGGAGCATCATTGGGCCCAGGAGTAAGCCCCAGCACGACCTGTTATCCGCTGTCGTAAGTGTGAGAGTGAGATCAGTCTTGTGGACCGGACTTGCCGGTGCGCGGATGAAGACACCCTTGAACGGTTTATCGGAATTGCGTAAACCGACAACGTCGAGATCAGCCTCAAAAGATTCTACTTGTGATCCCCAGCCATTTCTAGCGATGGCAATAGAAATCCCGCCTAAAATTTCCTGTCCACCCTTCTTCGTACCCTCCACCGTTTGGGATAGCAGGATCGCACCGGCACAGGTCCCCCAAACAGGCTTGGTCTTCACAAACTGTCGAAGGGGCTCTAAAAGACCAGAAACGCGTGCGAGAACTGCTATTGTCGTTGATTCTGCCAGCAATAAAAGTCAGTGATAACTATAATGCTTTCCAAAATGACTGCACTCACCTCCTCCAGGAATAATCAAAGCATCGCAACGATTTAGGTCCTCTACACTGCGCACCTGCGCAACGACAATCTTTTGCTTCAGAGATAATTTTTTGAGCATAGCCTGATGCTCGACAAAGGCACCCTGAAGGGCTTTATCGGAAGTCAGACGATGGCTAGAAAGAGCGTAGCCTGACTCACCAAGGATGCCAACAATAACTTCTTCCCTACTGAGTACCGCCATGTCGTGAAGACCGTGCCGACCTGAGCCAGATTTGTTAGAATCGTAATGAAGATGTGAATTGCAAGGACAAAGAACGCAGTCATGCAACCATATAAATCTTATCGAAATCAAGGCTACTGACCTGCTCCGGCTCCCAAGTCCAACCTGAAGGCCTGAAGGTTGGTGAAATTTGAAATCAAACTACCGATATCTTTGCGGGTAGAAATGAGAAATGATCCGACACCGGAAGTGACCGAATTTCCGGGTCGATCATTCCGATTCGTCATCGTACGGACAGCAGCCGTGAATCATTCAATGTATTCAAGTTCAAAACTACTGAGCGTGTAAGTGAACAATGAGACATTGCTGATATTATAAGCCTAACATGCCACGAAGGGTATATCCGGTATGGTGTAACGGCTAACATTGCCGCCTTTCATCTCGTGAAGGAATTCGCGGCAGCTCGGGGTTCGATTCCCCGTACCGGAATTATTTTTACCTCAGCAGATTTGTGAGCTGCAGGTCACCGAAACTGAGGATACGGAAATCTGTACGTACTGTACTCCAAGAGATAGCACGCAAAAGGGGATCGCAATTACGGGCAAGAAGATTCAAAATGGACGGGCCGCACTATCATTAGTCTGCATTTTGCCTATTGCTGACCTCCGTGACTAGTGCTATGGTCAATAGGCATCGTCACTATGTATGGTACTATCTTACCATGGCGAAATCTACGTACTGAAAATGTAAAAAACAAGGAGTCTTGCTACGGGTTTTTGGAATAGTACACCACACAAGATTAAACACTAACAGGTCTACTTCAAGATATTCCCGCAGCGCGATCCATGGTTGTTCTATGAACTTTAGTCTCTGAGTGTACGGTATAGCTCAAAATGTGTGAACGGTAAAGCTCAAAACGTATGAGAATTCGCAAACTAGAGCTGGTTTTCATGAACTTGTTGGAGGACCAGATCTTATCATCTTCAACCAGAAACATTCAACGAGCTTGAGTTTCATACGCCGCTCTCGCGCTCAAAATCTATCATGAAGTTTAGGACCATCCTCACACCCCTCGTCCTCCTGCCCCCATGCCGCCGCTCTCGAGGGCTTTGACTCAGTAAATCGTGGGACGTGCTGGAACCTTATGTTCGCAGCGATCACGATCAGCTTGTTAGTGATAGATCATGCTGGGATGGGCTTGGATATCATGTTGGAAGTGATGAACACGTTAGCGGACAATCATTGATCAGGCCTCAGTGGTATTCCTGAGGCGTTTTAACGTTACATCGGTCCAGGTTCAATGACAAGTCATTTCTGAAGCATGGTTAGTTATCTTCATGCTAACCATGAAGATTGCATACGAACGAGTAACGGTTACTCGACTTCGATTTTGTACATATATGAAGTTAGAGGATAGACGATAGAGTAGCCACATCAAATTCAACGTATCATGATTGCAAGATATCATCAAGACGTATTGATATCGTTCTCTTTCAGTCAAATGGCTTGACAATGAATCTGATCAGCACGATACAACTTGAAGGGCATTACGATGATAGTCGTTTGTTCCGATTCCATTAAAAGAGTTATCTGCATCACCTCTGCGCGCCTACCAGATATATCCAAACTATATTTTCTCCTTGTTTTGTACCTTGCACCATTTGGTCGCAGAGTCAGGGAATCGTATTGAGAATGAGAATCCAGTACGTCGAATTGAAAAGTAAGGGTCAAGCTTGGACTCAGAAAAAAAAAACGGACCCGGCATCCGTGTTCCGATGATGACAAAGCTTCTTAGGCGGTGTTTGCAAATTGAAACCTGTTTACCAACCACCACCATGTCAGACCTTGACGCAGATTTGTACGGCGGCAAGTACCTTCACAGCTTATTCCTATGATCTGATCTTTTACCGCTGACTTTCAGACCTTTATGGCAACGACGAGTTCGGTGGCGATGAGGGCCCCTCAGACCAAAAGGACGTGAGGTCCACAACAGAAGCACCTGCTGCGGAGCCCAAGACAGCAACGCCGGTGGTTCAGGACCAGGGCCAACTAGCAAAGCCATCATTGGTGACTATGATAGAATCGAATGGAGCAGCCCAGTATCCGGTGACCGCCTCGTCAACGTCCACGCAACATCAACCCGCAACGCAGCAAATTCCCACGTATGAACAACCCCAACCATCCGAGTCAATTCCGACATCTGGGGCATATCAAAGTATACCGGTCAACGAACGCACAATCAGGCCCTCGGAAATGAAAGACGAAGGGTGAGTAGAGAGCCATGAACTGATTCGTCATCCCAGGCGTTACTCTAGGGCCGCTCTTAGCGCGGCGAGGCTCTGTAGATGACGCACGCGTAGTCAGTCGCAATCGTCGCTAGCTTGTAGCTGGTGCCTCTCTATGTCTAGGCTAGGCTACACCCTCAGTAGCGTCTTTTCACTCTATTTTCTGCTGTCACCACATCTCTCTGTTCTAGCCTACCGTTACTAATAGCAATCTCTTTGCTCTTTCCATATCTGCCTCTGCCTCCTTGTCGTGTCTTCGTACCTTCAACTCTCCAGCAAAATGTTCATTGGCGGTCTCAACTGGGATACAACGGACGGTACATACATTTGTTCATAGTTCATAGTCGTTTTGTGTTGCTAATACTGGGCTTTACTCAGAGACTCTTCGTGATTATTTCACACAGTTCGGGAAAGTTGATGCTTGTACCATCATGCGAGATGCGGCGGGACGCTCCCGCTGTTTTGCATTTCTGACATTTGAAGACCCCGCCAGTGTGAACGCCGTAATGGTTCGTGAGCACGTCCTTGATGGTAAAATTGTAAAGTCCTTTTTCTATTGTTGATTTTATCTATTTGCTGACAAATTATAATCAACAATTCATAGATTGACCCAAAACGAGCAATCCCGCGACAAGAACATCAACGAGCAACGAAGTTATTCATCGGTGGCCTGGCAGGCAGTGTCACTTCAGAGTCAATGCGCGAGTTCTTCTCTCAGTTCGGCAAGGTTATCGACTCAACAGTCATGCTTGACCGCGAAACCGGCCGGAGCAAGGGTTTCGGTTTTGTCTCCTTCGAGGACACCAATGTCCAGCCCTTCCTAGGATTTGGCAACCTAGAAATCGATGGCAAGCTGGTACGGTGCCCTTTTCTAATTTTTCTCAGCCATCTTTAACTGGTCATCCCAGATCGACGTCAAGCTCGCACAACCTCGGTACCAGAGGGATAGCTACCCTAACGAAGATGGCCAAGGTGGTGGAAATTTCCAAGGCGGCGGCGCTACCGGTGGTGGCGGTGGTGGCAGTGGCGGACGCTTCAGCGCGCAACAGGGTAACTTTGGAGGAGCCGGTGCAGCAAATACACCGTTTGACCCGCAGGCCCTCGCGCAGCTCTACACACGCATGTTCCAGATGGCCGGTGGCGGGCAGATGAACCCTGCCATGATGGGGATGAATCCTATGATGGCGGCTGCGGCGGGCATGGGTGGTGCTGGGTTCGGCGGGATGCGTCCTGGAATGGGCATGGGGATGGGTGGAGGCATGGGGATGGGTGGTGGTATGGGTGGTGGGGGTATGGGCGGCGGAGGTATGGGTGGTGGGGGCATGGGTGGCAGCGCTATGGGCGGAGGGGTGGGGGGCATGGGTCGCGGTAACGCCATGGGTGGTGGTGCCGGAACGATGGGTCCCAATGTGCCGAGAGGCCCGAGAGGTGCAGGCGGGGGTACAACGCCCACTGGCCCCATGGGTGCGGGAGGTACTGGTCCTCAGAGATCTGGGCAACGCGGGCAGCACAGTTTCCATCCTTATGCCAGATGATCTGCTTCCTGACGGGCTAATTGGTTGAAAATGGCATTCGCCTAACTGGTTGTACATATTCGTCTTATAGTCTTACTTATTTAACTCTCCATTCAACTGTGTAATTACTTTTCCTTAAACGAGTAGCTTTCAGCCATGTATTCGTATGTTCAAAAGGCCCATAGGCCACTAGATTACTCATGTACCCGTTAACATCGTTTGCCAAGTGTCTAATCGGGCTTGATTTTAGAAGCAGCTCTTGAGAAAATCTTTGACCGGGCTACTCAGTTATCCTTGGGGTAAATGGACTCCTTTTTGCGGTCGAGAATGTCAGGGGAACTCATATAGTACAGTGAGGCCATTCTCAGTAAGAGCCATGCCCGGAGTTGTACGTACAGACAACGTATGCTGACTTGGATAGCAGGCAGGGTGAATGAGGACGAATGACCTGGACTGCAACAATGGAAGGTTCACCCTCAGGTCAATGTCATGATTAGACGAATTCTTCGGGCAATCAATCTCACAAGAGGAAGGCATTCAGGGACGGCGCCATAAGTACTTTCGAGTCGACGGAATGACCCACGGTATTTCTGGTTTAGTGCACTAGTCGCGTTCGTGATTCTTCAAGGTGAACCATATGTACATTAGCATGCATGAATGACTGGGTGAAGATAAATATCAGCCTCATGCATTATAACTACTCACCGGCGCCGCTCAACTTGAATACAATCTCGCTAGTATGATAAATGGCTTGATGCTGAAGATTATTCTTGACATCTATTGCAGTTTTCTCCATTTTTGAAGGGGAAGGTAAGAAGGCAACAATTGATTGGACAGCTAGTTAACTGTGGCACTCGGTATTCGCTACTCCGATCGTATTATGTCTGCACTGCCGGGACAGAGTTTGATCGGCGGAACATAACTTCACCACCTAGGATGCTCTGAATTATCGAACCAAGTTAGTACTAGGAAATTGTTGACGATGGAGATGTGGCCCTTAGGGTTATCGGATTCAACGAAGCAACTAGCATAATATAGTATAGTAGAGGTTTCGGTATGAAATATGTAACGTACAAGATAGATATATAACGTACACTGCAAGTGACAATCCGACAGTGTGGATGTTAGGAAGACAAAGTGCAATCAAACAAATTCAGTTTGAACTTTGGACTCCGCTCGATTGAAATTGAGAAGCATAGCTTCTCGGCCTGGATTATAAAATGTGCCCTAGTCAAACAGAGCTCGACAGCACCTCCAGTCAATCTTTTACAGCATCTCAACCTACTAGATTTCAAATATCAGTGCTCAGAATGTCTCTTCTTGCTCTTGTTGTTTATGAGGCTGTCAGATACGCAACTACAGCCCAAACCTTCAACGATGTACAGGACAGTAAGTGCTCTTATCCTCAAGTCCATGTTGTCCAGGGCCGAATTTACATTCCTAGTTGGCCTTTGGCCTTCCCATCTGTAGATCAGTAAGATTACTCTTTATACAGGCAGTACCATTGTAAAGGCATTGAGGTCACCTACGATATGGTCAACGACAATCCTAAGCCGGTCGTTCCCGGAAAGAAGGAAGGAACCCCCAACCATGACTGTCCCACTCCAGTCCGTTCACATTACAAGTAGCGTCTAGATTGGTCTGTTGTAACCCTAGGTATTCGCTATCCGATGCATGGCAAAATACACCC